AAGTAAAGCTCTTTTTATCGAGCCGAAATAATTAATAATTTCTTCTCATTATAATGCCACATCCAAAAAGAAAAAAAAAAAAACAAAAAAAAAACAAAAAATAACAAAAAACAAAAGAAAATGCAACGCGATTTATTATTTTATGTGCCACAAGTGCAGTAGAATGAAATAATGAATACCAAATCCTAGATTATTTTTTCGGTACATCAATTCATTGCTACATACTGTTTAGAATTCTTGTAATCAGGAAGAAATAAGAAAGATTACCGATAGGAAAAGTTATAATAAGATGCGAATATCGCTAATAAAACGATTGATAATTTTCTCGCTAATAATAACGAAGAATGAAAATTTTGATGCAACGTATGTTACTCGAATTGAATAGGATCGACGATTTATCTTTGGAATATTGTAAAAATCCAAAGTTACTGCATTAATGCGAATGGTCGTATATGGTTCAAGTATCTTTTTTTATACGAAGAAGAAGAAGAAGAAGAAGAAGAAGAAGAAGAAGAAGAAAAAAAGAAAACTAAACTAAACTAAAATAAAATAAAATAAAATAAAATAAAATAAAATAAAATAAAATAATTGTGTCAAGCAATTACATAAAAACACGAAAGTACACGGGATATTTTCTTACTTTACTGTACTTTCATGCTGCGCCATGTCTCTTCGTAGAACGAAAGAAACACGAAGAGTGTCTTATGTATGTATGAATATAAACATTTTAAGTACAATCAATTACACATTGAAAAAGAGTACCTCGACGACATTCTCGTCGTAAGATCTTTAAAAAAAAAAAGTGGGAGGAGGCTACATCTATAACATGTTTGTAAATGCGTATGAGACAAAGAAAAGGAGTATTTGACGCGTCGTAGTATTGTTAAAGATAGTATTAATGTCAACGGCGACAAGATTAAGAAATGAAATGAAGAAGAAAAAAAAAATAAATGAAAAAAAAACGTTATTTGTACACGAGTAATATCTCAAATTCGTCGTTTTTGAAGTAATGTACGAATTTAAACGATTCCAATAATATTATAAAAAAGCATGAAGTGAAAAAAGTGTTGTTTCTACGTTGTGGCATGAAAAAAAAAAGGAAAAAGAAGAAAGAAAGGAAGGAAGAAAGAAAAGAAATGAAAAATGATAGAAGTGCTATTTTAACACAAACTTTGGTGGTTTTATTACTAATGGAGAGAACATAAATTACCTTTTTTTCCTTATACGAAATAAAATCGAAAGATAGACCGATCTAATTCGCTCTTATGCAATATCATTTAAATGTTAATCAAGTTTATCTAAATAATGATGTCCAAGATGTGATAATTTAGAAATTATTATTATGATATTTGATAATAATGATGATGATGATGATGATGATGATGATGATGATGATGATGATGATGATGATGATGATTATGATGATGAGATGCTGTTATTGAATTTCTTTATTGCGTATAAATTTCAATGATTAATGTATATTGAATTGGATTATTGTTTTGGAAAAAAGCATTAACATAAAATACATATTTATGGTTTTATAAAGATTCTATAAAAAGAAGGGGAAAGAGGACAAAAGGAACAAATATTCAGGATCTTATATTAATAGATTATGTTTAAATGAATGACGGCAATCTGTTCGCAACGATAACACCAATAATACACAAATGTTCTAATAAAGGACGAAAGGATGCGATTATGTATAAGAAAAAAAAGATCGTTCGATTAATTGATTTATTGATTAATTATGCATTATTCAACTGATTCATGCATATGCAATTTATTGTAAGAGGAAAGATAAATACTACGGCCTTAGACCTAGTCGTGTGTATATAAAAAAGTAAGAAGAAAGGTGAGCCTCAATCGAAAGATAATACAGAGTCTGGCATCGTTAGACACAAATTTTATATCGAAGAGATTTAAAAATGCATCAAAATAAAGTCAATGCGTTAAAAACCGAATGTGTGCACTTATATCTATTTTTACATTTTTATGTATCCCTTCCTATAAACTAAAAATTAAATAATATCGCCTTTTATCGATATATAGTAATCATACAAACGTTTGTTACATCTGTTCAGAACGACAGTATTAGACTCGATCGGTAACGAAGATAATGTTCAAACATAACCTTTAAGTAAACATGTTTATTTTTCACTCTCACGAGTTTCATATATGTAACTTTGAATAGTAATTAATAATTTATCGTTATTGTAGAATATTATCTTGTAAAAATTTACAAACCAAATATGAAAACGCAGAATTGGAAAGAATTAGATATTCCTTTAAGTAAGCCTGTATTAGAAACACTTCAAGAATTGAAATTTGAAATTATGACACCTGTTCAAGTAAGATTTCTCGTATAATATCTTTTATTTGTTATTATTTATATAATTCTTTGAACTATAGATTTAAATTTTTATAAGGGAAAAAATTCGTCTATTATATTTTTAGGCAGCATGTATACCTCTCCTTTTAAAAGGGAAAGACGTTGCCGCAGAGGCAGTAACAGGTAGTGGCAAAACACTTGCTTTTCTTATTCCTTTAATGGAAATATTACAAGTATGTATCTAGATAAATGAATTATTTCAAGAGAACATTGGTTAGGTTATAATGCATGATGTCATCTCATTCAGAAATGTTTATAGAGACGCCCTGATAAATGGAAAAGTACAGAAATAGGAGCTTTAATAATAACACCGACTAGAGAATTAGCTATTCAAATTAGTGAAGTATTAACAAAATTCTTAAATAAACTCTTATTATTAAAACAAGTAATTCTTGTCGGTGGTACAACTATTAACGAAGATATAGAGAAATTAAAGGCTGGTGCCAATATTATAATAGCAACTCCTGGTAGACTAGAAGATATGCTTTCTAATTGCAAAAGTATAAATTTAACAAAATGCTTGAAATCTTTGGTAATTAAGCTTAACATAACATATGTATTATTCCTATCATATTTCTTTCTCAATTTAATACTATTTTTAGGAAATATTAATCTTGGATGAAGCTGATAGATTATTAGACTTAGGTTTCTCAAAAACATTAGATATTATATTAAGCTATTTACCGCGTTTACGAAGAACAGGTCTATTTTCTGCTACGCAAACGAAAGAATTACAGCAATTAATCAGAGCGGGATTAAGAAATCCGGCTTTTGTTTCCGTAAAGGAGAAAGCTAATATATCAACACCTTTGAGCTTAACAAATAATTATGTAATAATACAAGCTGAAAATAAATTATCAACAATGATAAGTTTTATTCAACAAAAAGGAATTCATTTAAAATATATGATTTTTTTATCTACCTGTGCGTGTGTAGATTACTTCAGTCATGTTATACAAACGTAAGTCATATTTATCTTTAATTTTTATTTATTTCAAGAACTTTTTAAATCACAAATATTATTATATAGAATGTTATCAGAGACACGAGTATTAGCTTTACACGGCAAAATGAAGAAAAAAAGATATAAAATATTTGATGAGTTTCGTTCAATAGAAGCTGGCATTTTGATATGTACTGATGTCATGGCTAGAGGTATTGATATATCAGAAGTAGATTGGGTATTACAATACGATCCTCCATCTACTGCGAGCAACTTTGTACATAGGTAAAAATTTTAAATATATGAAAAATTTATAAATTAATAACAGTAGAATTATAGAAAATGCAAATATATTGGAACTATAATCAATAAATTTACATTGCCAGATGTGGAAGGACAGCCCGAATTGGGCACGAAGGAAGTGCATTACTTTTCCTATTAAAAAATGAAGATGCATACGTAGATTTTATTAAAAGAAATCAGAAAGTAGATATACAAGAAATGAAATTAGAAGTATGTATGGATATAATGAGAAAGTGTTTACAATGTATGCGTGATTTACAATTAAAAGATAGACAAATATTTGATAAAGCAAATAGAGCATTTGTATCATATGTACAAGCATATAATAAACACGAATGTAATTTAATTTTAAGATTAAAAGATATTGACTTAGGAAACCTTGCCATGGGTTTTGGCTTATTAAAAATGCCACGAATGCCTGAATTGAAAGGACGTGATATAACATCCTTTGTTGCTCCAGAAATTGATTCTAATTCAATTACATATTTGAACAAGGAAAAGGAACGAATCAGATTAGAAAAATTAAATCAGTTTCATAATACAGGTACATGGCCGGGAAAAATGAAACGTAAATGTAAACAAACAGAATCTTGGACTGAAACAAAAAAGAGAAAATTAGAAAAACAAGAAAAACGTAAAAAGCGAAAAGAAAAGAAAAAAATTCAACAGGACAAGGGTGTTGTTCCAGTTAAAAAAAAGAAGAGATCTATTACTTCTGAGGAGTTAGAAGAATTAGCAAAAGATGTAGCATTAATAAAAAAATTTAAAAAGAAGAAGGTAATCAACAAATTCAAATCAAATATAAAAATCAGTTTTATTTTTTTTATATATTTATTATTTAATTGATCAACATATATTATATTATTCCAGATAACTAAGGAAGAGTTTGAAACAGAATTTGGAATTAGTTAACAAAAAATTAGAAAAAATATAAATGATACTATATTTATAAAATGTTTGCAAAAATATATATATATAATTTATAATATATTTAGCAATCTTTTCAACAGACAATAAACATTTTGTTTCTTTTCTAACATTGTTCGTCATCTCTGCTTTTATAATGATTTATTCAGTAATGAATACAGACGTAATTTTTGTCCGATTTTGATAAGAAAGGTATTACTTTAAAAATGAAAGTTTAAGCGAAGATATGGCTTATTCGAATTTTTAAAAAAGCATTATTTTCTTTGAAAAAATTAATGTCAAAAAATGATATTTTTTCGAAAACAATTTATGTATAAAAATAAAGGTTTTTCAAAAATACGAAAAAATCTTATGATAAGTAGATACATGTTTATCATCAGTCGGTAAAGTAAAAAATTCCTGTTTCTACCATTAGTCGATATTTATATAAATTTAATTAAAAATAAGAAGTATAAAATTTGTATAACAAATATTTTTCAATTCATCTGTCTTCAAAAAAGTATAATCTGACATGTTTTCTTACTTTTGTTAGATGTAGTTTTAAACATATTTTTCATATTTCATCCATATCTGTCACTGAAGTCACATACATTACGAGGGTAATGTGGTGAACAGCCTTAAACATAATATTTTTAAAGGAAGTGGTTAAAATCGAACGAGTCATAAGAAATTCCATATTTTATATCCAATCCATAGCCGGTAAAAGCATAATGGAAACTTCCCGAAATTATAAAAATCCTTTTCAGGATTATTTAAGTTCATCCTGTCTTACCGTATTGAAGCCAGAAGAAAATACTGTAATAAACAAATTTTATTATCATGCTTAATGATGATAATAAAAACGTAATTTTTATTCATTATTATTATGTCTTACAGATAGCAGACAACTTTAAAGTTTTGCTAATTACAAATACCAAAAGATTGGTACAAAAATTAGAAGAAAATAAAAATGATTGGACTTACCATGATGATCATTCTATTTATACAGGAACTGCTGGTATAGCAAATATGTTTCAACTTTATGCTGATTATTTCAATGAACCTGCATATTATTCTGTATGTTATATTTTATAATTACCAAAAAAAAACATTCTTATCTATTCCTTATCCAAATCTCTTATAGCTCTTAATAGAAAAAATTCATGTTTTCTTTTTTTTTTTTTTTTTTTTTTAGAAAGCAATAGAATTGTTACAAACCTGTATCAAAAAATTTAAATGGAAAAGGGAAATAACTTTTTTAACTGGCTTATCTGGACCATTAGCACTTGGAGCAGTTATATTTCATAAACATGGAAGTAAGGATGATTCACAAAATGCAATATCTAAGTATGTATAATATTGCGGATTAAAAAATACTTATTATATATATATATATATATATATATATATATATATATATACGTGCTAATAAAATAATGTCGTTTTTAGATTGATGTCTTTATCATCCCATGTTATAAATGAACGTAGTGAAATACCAGATGAACTACTGTATGGAAGAGCTGGATATCTTTTTTCTCTTCTTTATATAAATTCAAATATATCTCCACCTCCTATAAAAACTGATATTATCAAACAGGTATTGTACCATAATAATATTTTTTATATTTTTTAATTACTTATGTACAAGAAATGCTCTTATAAATAAATATTTACTTTGATATCACAAAATTTTCATTAGGTTATCTCTAGTATAATAAAATCTGGAAATATATACTCTACATCGAGACATTACAAATCTCCACTTATGTATTCATGGCATGATACAGAATATCTTGGTGCAGCTCATGGACTGGCTGGTATTCTCTACATACTCTTACAAGTATATTACATTGAAGATAATATTAGTTATAATTTTATTTATCATTTGATATATTTTATTCTACTCATTTTTGGTAGGCTCGAGATTATTTACATGAAGAACAACTGAAAAATTATATACTACCAGCTTTATATTATCTTCAAGATCTAAAATATCCGTCAGGAAATTTTCCTTCTTCGATAGGAAGTAATACAGATAAATTGATACACTGGTGTCATGGAGCTCCAGGAATGACTATGTTATTTTGCCTTGCCTATGAGGTCCTTATATATGCATTTCAGATTAATTTACATAGATAAGAAATAATTTTTTAACTTAATTATATTTCTAATCACAGATATATTCGGATAAGAAATTTTTAGAAACTGCTATACAATGTGGAGAAGTAATTTGGGAAAGGGGTCTGTTGAAAAAAGGATATGGAATATGTCATGGAGTTTCTGGAAATGCATATACATTTCTACATCTGTATCAACAAACAAAGGTTTCTACATTGATTATTAATTTTTAATTTCTTATATATATAATATTTGAAATATCTTTATAATATCTTTTCTTATTATAATCATGTTTAATAAAAAATAAAAATATTTTTTCTCAGGATCTAAAACATCTATATAGAGCTTGTAAATATGCGGAATGGTGCTGTAATTATGGAGTAAATCAAAATAGAATTCCTGATAGACCATTTTCTTTGTTTGAAGGTATGTAATAGATTTTTAGTTTTTAATTAACTAAATTAGATTTAGATATATATATATATATATTAGTATATATATACTAACAGTCTTCTGTACATGTACTATTTCAGGTCTTGCTGGTGTAATTTATTTTCTTATAGATATGCAAAAGCCAAGTATGGCCAAATTTCCAGCATATACTTTATAAAGTTAACATTTTTGGATTATCGTATTTATTACAACACAATCTTCTTTGTGATTACTTTTAGAAAGAATGCGTTTTATAATAAAGCTTTCTATATAAAATTGGATGAGATGGTACTGCAAATTGTTCTCAAGGTATACTAACTTTGATGTATAATTATTAATTATTCATTGATATAAATGATCACACACATATATTCGTATGATTTTCTAATAGCTATATAATATTTTTTCCTCCAAATGACAAACTATTGAGATTTTTTATATTCATCGCATAACACACTGTATATTAATATGTTGCAGTATATTCATTGTTAAAATTGCTCGTACTTTATACTCGTTATACTATATGACCCTTGTGAAAAAATCCATAAAAGAGAGAAAATATGATGATATATTATGGATATAAACGAGATTAGTACAAAACAAATTTATTTAAATTATTTACATTATTGAATTATTTAATAGATAATATAACATAATACACATACATACACACACACATACACACACACATACACATGTATAATTTAAATATATTTGAATTAAATATTTTCTTTTTGAAAAAGTTAAAGTATTACAACATAATAAAGATTCTTTCTTTTATATACTCCGTGACGATTGAAAAGTGATCGAATGAAAGTCTGAAATGTGAGTTGTCCCCGTCTTCTTTCGTTGCGTCACTTTCTACTCGTCCGAATAATACACTCTTCCAATATATATATACATACATACGTACATTCATAGAAGTACAGTACATATATCAAGTATCAATGCAAGAATGAAATTTCGTCTTTTGATAGATTTTTGAAAAAACTTTAAAGAATAAATTTAATAATAATATATTCATTTATTTATTAAAAAAAAAAAAAAAAAAAAAGAAAATAATTTTGAAAGAAAAATCGAAATTTTACAATTCATCGTAGGAACAAGCAATGATCATAAATAATTACTTAACTGCATATTTTTTGTATCATGTAATATATTTTATTATCAAAATATTTGCATTATATTTTTATATGTGTAAGTATATTACATCAAAATGGAAATATATATATATATATATTTTTTTTTTGTTTGTTATTAAACAATTAAGGAAATAACCATTGAGATGTATAAAAGTTGACCAATTTTACTATAAAAGCAATGTTCTTGAGATTCGAAATAGAATGAGTTGATCCGGTTTTAAATCAAAGATTAAAACGTTGATTTCTCATTAACCATTGATGGGAGTGGCGTTCACCTGTTTTACCTGAGGCTTCAAGTATATAAGGCACCTTCTACCATCACTCCGCTTAGTCATTTGGAATCGTTCGTGAAACAGCGCTTTGCTTCAACGTAAATACCAACCGTGAGTGTGCATTATGTTGTGATAAAAAATCATTGAGTTTTTTTTATGATGTTATATCTTATATTTCTTTTCCTAAACAGGACATGGTAAACTTTCCTTTTCGTAATATATTTAGATTGTTTGAAACTGAAAATAATATTACTTTTTGCAAATAATATACGTTCAAGTTTAATACAAAAAAAATTTATTGTTCTCTTTTATAAATTTCTACTTAAAAAAAAGGAAAAAAAAAAAATAAATAAATAAATAAAAAAAAATTTAAATAATATATCTTTTTTTCTTATAAAGAAATTTTTGCACTTCCAACTTTCAATTAACGTATGTTAATTTCAATGTTTATCGTAATATAAAGAAATAGTTTATTGGTAAATATACACAGGGTGTGATATAATTAAAAACAGAAAGTATTACGTATTTAAGAATTTGAAAAAAAAATGGATAATAAAGATGTACGCCAAATTTAATATTTATTTTCACTCGATTAAACATTGCCATGTTTAGAATGTTAACATATTGTCATGTGTAAATATATATTTCGATGTTCATTCTCAGATGAGATTTCACAAGATAGCGACGATCCTTCTCGTTGTAATAACTATCGCATCTGCATACCCGCAAAAAGATGGTCAGATCTTCAGTAATGAAGCGATTAGGCAAGCTCAAAACACTTATCTCATTCCTAAGGATGCGACGATACAAAAGGTTCAAGAAGGGATAGAATTGGCTGCATACGAATCGATTCCTGGAGATCAAAGGATAAATCTTTTTGAAATACTTGGAGAGCACGTACCACCAGAAGTTGTTAACAATCTGCAAACTCAAATTGATCAAATAGGACGAAATTAAAATTTATTGTTCAACATTAATGTACTGTCGATTTTCCATTGTCTTCCTGTACAAAATTACTTCTAAGTACTTATAAAAGTATTTATAAATGAGCGATAAATCACTCTCTCGTGAATTATAATATATTCAGCTTTTACATTTTTATAAATAAACGCAAGAAAATAATCAATGACTGATTTTCATTCATGTGTGTGCACATATATATATATTTATATGTATATATATATATATATACACATATGCTTACTTTTGAAGAACTTTGGGACATTGTAATCTATATAAGCACCGTAGAAATGACTTCCCCGTCAGTTTCTTCAGTTATGTATACGATGGTGAAACATCGCGCGGTGAAAGCAGGAATACCACTTGCCAGAGAGTACTTTCACTTATATCCTACATTTACCTTATGAATAGACGGATCTTCTTCAGTAGATTTTTGTAGCATGCCATATTTGGAACTTGAGTGTTTCTTTATGCAAAATATATCGACAATATGTATACACGTACGCGTGTACACATATACAAACACGCGTATAAATATACTTATATAAAGTGTATATCAACATTATGTCTAAAGTTTACTTAAAGTATATTAACGATAATATTAACAATGTCTCGATGTAAAAAAAATCATTTGTTAAACATATATCATCGTTTTTAAATATTTCATATTTGTATGGAACGTTTATCTTATGAGTGACATTACTTCTACATTTATGATAAATATCTTATTGTTTATTTCTATCGCAAAGGTACAAATTTCATTAAGCAAAGAAAATTTGAAACTCTCTTTTACTTTTTTTATCTTTCTGAGTTTACATCTGAATCATTGCATTCCTGCACATTATGGATAGATCATTTTCTTGCATGAAAACACTCGCAATATTCAACTACGCAATCTCCTTAATATCATAGAAAAGTATATTTGTCTATATCGAAAAATAAAAATTATATATTTAAATCAGCAAAGGAAAATGGAAACATAAGAAAAAAAAGAAAGTAAGAAAGTAAATGAATTGCATAAATCAAAGTATTGGCTGCAAAAGTACTATTTACACAAAATAATCCCAAAATATTCTTACAATAATATACAGTAGCAACATGAGAACAGAGAAAAAAATAATTAGGGAATACAAATAGTACTGTCATTATTATTTATAGGTTGAAAATGATAATACCAATAGTTGAGGTACGATGTATACATATCTGACTGTATATGTTTATTAGAGGTAAAAACTATACTTTTATGTACAATTGTTGACCAATAACAAAAATTTGTTTGCATACAACTTTACATCAATTGGCTTTCGTTATATTGTTGCTGTTGTGTATGTTGGATTCAACATCAGCACGTATACACGTATTTGAACACCTTAAAAAGGTGTTTTCAATGCAAGAAAATGTACTATCCCTATAGGCATACTGTCTACTTTCCAAACCAGAGATGACGAAGCTTCACTTAAGTCCAACACGTATGTGAGTTCATACAAGTGTTCTATTTTCAATACACAGTTCCCTTTCAGATTCACTTCCTATAATAAATTTACATAATTAGAATGATAAAATTACATAATTAGAATGATAAAATTACATAATTAGAATGTACTAAATCACCTATATATATTTTCTAAATCATTAAGTATTAATTGTTATGTCAGTTTTTATCTTCACAAATACTTACTTAGATTTTTTGGACCCCCTATCACTTCTGTCTACACTGTCTTCCCGTGACCGCTTTTTACTGTTGGAAGAAGAGTGCGATGACTTGTGTTTATCATGTTTATCGTGCTTATCACTTTTTCTGGGGCTAGATGACAAAAATGAAAAAATAAAATCATCATTAGTATAATAATTCTGAAATAATCAAAATTGGTGGTAATCACCTGTGTTTAGATGATTTAGAAGGAGACACTTTCTTGTGTGATCCCCCACTCCGCGATCGATCCGTTCTTTAATTATTAAATTATCAACTCAATGTAATAGGAATGTATATATGTATGCATATATCATTAGAAAATAATGCAGAATATATATTGTCTATATTTATTTCTTAAAACTATTTTACCTGTGTTTATCCGATGATCTTCTATCTTTACTGCTCGATGAACTTTTGCTTTTGGAATTGCTAGAACTTTTGTGTTTCGAATTGTGCCTTAAAATAATTATAAATACGATATTTTATAACACATCACGTTGCATATAATATTCAATTAAGTTTAGTAACAATTTTGTTATTTCCATACCTGTCTTTTGCTGGTGAAGGTGATTGTCTACGACTCGATTTCTTTTTTTTACTTGAATTATAATCGTCACGATAACGTCCCTCCCCTCTTTCTTTATCTTCTTCAGCTGCTTCTCGTTCTAGATCTGACCAATCTTTACCAGATTCTTCTGAACTACCCAATTCTTCCTCTTTAAATAAAATATAAATTAATTTCATAAAATAATTTTGAGCAAATAGATTTTTTTTAATAGAAAATATGTTATTTCTCGAATTACCTTCACTATCGGAATGTTCAGATGCTTCTGAATATTCTGAATCATCATCAGATTCTTCTTCACTGTCTAGATCAGATGGCTAAAAAGAAATTCAAGTATTTCTTCATAAGATAAACTACTTTTAATTTTTTTATTAATTATTAATATTTTATATTCATTAATAATGAGTATCACAAACCTCATAAGCATCATCTTCTTCTTCCTCTTCGTCTTCAACCTCTTCATTTTCAGCATCACTTTCTGGATCTAAAAATGTCCAACCACCGCTATCGAAAAATCCTTCTGGATCATCTGTTATAGTCTTCATAATTTTTGTCCAATTTAAAGATTGTACACCTTCTGTATATCTAATATCGCAGGAACTAGAAAAGAAAAAAATATTAGTTATTATTGGCAACATATGTGCGCGTATAGAAAAATACATATGAAATAAATTAAAAAAACTTACTTTAACCACTCTTTAACATGGTCCAGCATGTTCATTGGAATGGCATTAACCATAGCAACTTTTCTATGATAGTCTTTGAAAACAAAAATCATATCAAAATTTTTCAAATGAAATTGTACTCTTTCAAAGTGAACAAGTTCAACATCTTCCAATGTAATGACGAAGGGAGGCTACAATTTAAAATTAATCAAAATTTAATGTAATAGTAATTTTGATTGCTAATCATGTTGGAATATAAAAATATGTAATAAATGAAAGTAAAATAGTATCATACCCATTCTGTGAG